ATAGTAGTTTGGTTGCACTCTATACTGTGTATTGGCTCATTGGCTCTGCTGTACATAGTAGTTTGGTTGCACTCTATACTGTGTATTGGCTGTGCTGTATATAGTAGTTTGGTTGCACTCTAAACTGTGTATTGGCTGTTCTGCATATAGTAGTTTGGTTGCACTCTATAATGTGTATTGGCTGTACTGTATACAGTAGATTGGTTGCACTCTATACTGTGTATTGGCTGTACTGTATACAGTAGATTGGTTGCTCTCTATACTGTGTATTGGCTGTACTGTGTACAGTAGATTGGTTGCACTCTATACTGTGTATTGGCTGTACTGTATACAGTAGATTGGTTGCTCTCTATACTGTGTATTGGCTGTACTGTGTACAGTAGATTGGTTGCACTCTATACTGTGTATTGGTTTATTTGAACATTATAGACTGGTTGAATTTCAAGCTGTTCTCATTGTGTACTATATATTGATTTTGTTTTATTTTGTATACTGGTAGCACAATACAGTTGCAATTTATAGTGTATAATGGTTGCATATCATAGCTGTATTGCTTCATAGCATATATACATAGATGTCTTTGGGTACCGACGTTTACTTTATATTCAATGTATTGTTGTATATCTGTTATTTATGGTGTATTTATGCACTTCATTTTGCTTGCTTTCTGTATTTTATGAGGGCTGCACCGCCTGTGCGTTTTGTGCATTGTCTGCTGTATAATAATTGCATTTTTGTCACAACGCATATTGTTCTCTTTGCATACTGTCTATTGTTACAATGTACTCTATATTTTGGAATCTATGAATATTAAATGCATTGTGTACTGTATACTAGGTGCACTGTATGCTATAAATTACTTTAGGTTTACACTACATAATCTTTGTATTTTGCATTGGTTGTTCTCTAGATTGTATGCTCTATATTATACACTACAGAATTATAGAGCAGCAGTCTAAGTCCACCTTAAAGTACAATTGTGGACAGCCCATAAATATTTACTTCTTATTATCGTGCAGTAAATGAGTATTAAAATAGGCTCTCATTGACCTCTGTAGCTGCAGTCACTGTGCAGTAATGCATCCTAAACCTTTCTAATGGAAGTGGTAAAGTCGTAAAGGTCAGATCTCAGCACTCTGCTCTCATCCCTTTCATCTGCTCCTGATCTTTGATTACACTAGAGCAGGGGTAGCAAACCTCCGGCCCTCCAGCTGTGGTGAAACTACAAATCCCATGATGCATCTCTCTTCGGGAGTCATGTCTGTGGCTGTGAGAATCTTGCAATGCCTCATGGGATTTGTAGTTCCACCACAGCTGGAGGGCCGGAGGTTTGCTACCCCTGCACTAAAGATTAGAAGGCTGCCAGGCTGCCATGTAACTGCATGGAGGAGAAACTGAGGTATGGAGAGAAAGTGAAAGTTCAACCAAAAAGCTTCTGCTGCATTTTGAGAATGATGTTTTCCACAGTGTCTGCAGCTACAGAGGTCCCTGGAGGTTTGTTTTAAAGTGTATTTCCTGCTTGTTAAGAATATGTAAATGTTTGACTGTCCATAGTCTGGCAACACAGTTCCACTGTAAGGTTCACTGTGTCCTTTGCACCAATACATCAGAAATTTCACCAACACACCAATGGATGATATCCAAAACAAAGCGTTGTTTATTCACGCATATTGTCACATCAAAAATGCATTTTTGATGTGACAATATGCGTGAATAAACAACGCTTTATTTTGGACATCATCCATTGGTGTGCTGGTGACATTACTGATGTACGCTGTGAGCGCACATCCCCAGTCGCTTGAGCACCCACCTTTCAGCACAAGAGGCATTCGGCAAGGAGTGCGGCAGTTATTTTCCAGTTATGTCGGAAATTTGCACCAATACAACACGAAGGATCAAAACCTTACTTGGTTTGCATACCGCAGGTGGAAAAACTGCACGTGTTGCCCAGAATAACCAGTCAGATTCCTTGTTTAATTTCCATAGTGCATGCCCAGCCAAAGTTGTTTTGTTAGCGTCGGATAGCATTGGGAACGGCTGGAACTTAATTTATTGCCTTCAAAAATATATCAAAGAGGTGCTGGGGCTTTAACACCTATTCACATCAAAACAAGGACAGACCATAGTTATTGGATGAGCTGACTCGCTCTGGTAAGGCTGTTCACGTAGAACTAGGCTATCCTTCAGTGGATACCCAGAAATCATGTACTGTACATACAACATATGCACCACACCAAATGGTGAAAGAGTCCAAAGTTGCTTTAATGGTTCATAAAAGGATCACATAAAACATGCAACATGTTTCAGGGGCTTTAGTAAATATTTGGCACAGATTATATCATTGTAAGCCCCCTATCACACTCAGGCACAAACGTGCGCGCTTTGATGTGCGTTCATGACACACAGAAACACAGAATGTGCTTGTGCTGCCATTACTAACTAATGGCACCCCAAATGCAGCCGAACAACCACATCAGTGTTCAGCACGTTTGCTAGAATTTTCTACATGCACTACTTTCCCTCTGTTGGTGCGTGTCCTGGAAGTCATTGAAATCAATAGGGAAGCATGCCAGATGCAGGAAACAAATGCCAGTGAACATTGCGTCACCACGCTGCCTATTCCTGCTACGCTCAGGTGTGAACGTGGGCTAAAAGGCCGCAGCAAAACCTCTGTCTTATCCAAGTTCAGGGTGTCAGCAAGACAGGAAGTGAGGGGAAATCTCTCCACTGCAAAAAGGGTCAAATCTGGTCTGAACATTCGATAACACCATCAGGGACTTGACGAACCTCATTCGAAATTTCATTTGATTTTCAATTTTGAAATGAATGGAGATTCCCGGGAAAAAATTAATGGTCACTGTTAGAAATTAATTAATTGATAAAAAATTTCCATCCTGCTTCTTTGACTTTTTAACTCATTGCAACCCCGTAAATTCTAACTCTGTATACCGAACTTGAGAAAAATAAGGTTTTGGCTATAGACACACTTTAAGATCAATGACTCGTATTGTCACAGTTAACACTGCCATCTGCTGCAGAGAGAGTTATGTGGGGTATACGCGGTTAGAATTTCAAAGGAGCTAAATCAAATTTGGTTCGTTCGTTGGACTTTCTAATCACTGACGGGGTCAAATTGATAATTAATTTCACCGCAGTGATGAAAAAATTTGCAGTGGCATGTTGGAAGTTTTCTCAATCGAATTAAAATCGACAGTGAATGTGTTTGTTTGTTCGGTAAACTCCATTCATTCCAAAACCAAATGTTAAATAAAAACGAAAATCAAATGAAATTTCGACCAACAATGCTCAGGCCTCTGATGCTATTATCGAACGCTCCGGATTTTTTGTACGAATGTTCATGCCAAAACCTACCCATGTATACCCTACTTTGGGCCTATCAAAGTTTTGCTATGGGGCACTATGATTAGTAGTTACGACCCCGCTTGGGTACATAGTTCATGATTGACATATTTATCCCCTTCCTCCAATAAAAAGGGCCATTTCACAGTTCAACCACCTCATTATGCTGTGGCTCTTTACAGCCCTTGTAAATACTTGTAAATATAACTTTGTTGTTCCTTTTCCAGCCCAACTACTTCCAGATATCCCCTCCAACAGGTAGCTTAAGTCATTGGGCCTCTAGAACATGTCTCAGGCTGAAGCAGGGCCCAAGTGAAGATATACTCTAATTATAGCCTATCTCCGGGCAAACTAAAAAAATACCCTTGCAGCAAATCTACCCCGGCACTGCAAGGGTTAAGTGCTCATTTATACCAGGGGGCCACAGTAAAGCACTTTTACTTACCTGACCCCTGCTCATCCTGGTGGTCAGCATTTACCTCTCTCCCCTTCACTCCAGCTGGATGAATGTTCCTTGGCATCCTCACATCTAATGCAAGTCTATGACATCAGTGGTCCTTAGACTGCCGGTGCAAAGGGCAGAAAAGGCTGCTGGGACTGGTCAAGCAGCCCAGAGGGATCTGGTGGGAGCAAGGATCAGGTATGTAAACCAGCTTTTACCTGTCTCCTAGACTTAAAGAGTAAGCTAACCGTTGCAGTGCAGGGGTAGCCCCACTGTAATCGTAGTTCTTGGTTTACCCAGAGATAGGCTTTAGACAACCTGCCCAGGCAGAGCTCAGGAGGAGAGAGAACCCACTGGAAAGGTGACCCAAAAATGTATCATCTTCCTAGACTGTACCTCTGGACAAGCTCCTCGGGGGTTGGTTGAGTCAGATAAATATTCATAATTTAGGGATTGCCTTTCCCGCTCTGATCACTAGAACCGCCTATACAGTAAAAGGCAGAAGCTATCAACCCACTGAACTAAGCCCTTGTTCACACCTGAACGTTTTGTAGCGCGTTCTGCGCTCGACGAACGCTCTACAAAACGCTCAAAAATATAAATCCCATTGTATTCAATGGTCTCGTTCCCACCTTGGCGTATTTCCACCCGTCCCTAACGCGCTACAAAACGGCCCACGCCTGAAAAGGTACAGGTACTACTTTGGGCCGTTTTGTTGCGCGTTTCCATTGGGATACAGCCAAGTAGCCTTCGGAAACGCGCGTTTGCCGCGCAACTTTTTAATCGCGAATCGCGGTACAAAAACGCAGAGCCCAGAAAAAAAGAAAAAAAAGCTCAGGCTGGTTACATCTCAGCACTAAATTTAGTTAGCAAAGGCCAGGAGCGCTAGCCTTGTATCCTTTCTCTGCAGCTAGCCTTCTCTCCGCCTCTGGAAACTGGCTTTAGCTGACTCCTGGAAGTAGACTTCACAGAGGAATGGATTAGCGTTGCTTCCATGAGTCAGCCTATGGCATCCTTCAGCACTAGATGACAGACACTGCTGATAGGTTGCTTTTGAACCAATGAAAACATGAGAATGGAGATAAGTTTGTATTGCACTCTGCAGCCTCTCCAACCTGCTCTGCTGTTCCCATGTCAGTGAACATCTCCTTTTAAATTGCCTCTTCTGGTCCTCATATCTCTTTTCCTTTCCTTCTAGATGCCAAAGGGACGATCCGGGAGATTGTTCTACCGAAAGGTCTGGATCTTGACCGGCCAAAGCGCACACGAACCTCCTTCACGGCGGAGCAGCTGTATCGGCTGGAGCTGGAATTCCAGAGGTGCCAGTATGTTGTCGGCAGGGAGAGGACTGAGCTGGCCAGACAACTTAATTTGTCCGAAACACAGGTAAGGAACCGGCCGCACTCTGACATCAGAACAAGGAGTGTAGCCATAGCGCACTATGTGACTGCTATGGGGTCCTGAAGCAAAGGGGCTTCAGTTCTGTATGAATGTGTAGTGATTTCGGCAAGTAGCAAATGCATTTGGCAAATGCTCATAAAATGTATGTACATCTAGTTTGATAACCTATGAGAAGAACATTGGGAAGGTGGTGGTGGTGGCGGTGGGACGGTAAATGTTCTGCTGCCATCTCATTCATGGTACTTATTCAGAACACCAAAGAACCAAATAAATGAATGTCTGTATAAAATAAATGTACCTTCAATACAATGTTCCTATAGGTTAAAATCACTATAGCTGTCACTGAAACAAGAGGTGGGGGATACATTTTCCAATAGGGGTATGTGTTCTGATTCTGGTTCTACATACTTTAAGCCCCTTCTCGCATTGCCTCTGCAGCTGTCCAGGTTGGAAGTTGCCTAAATAGGATGCCGGATACATTTTAGAAGTTGCGATTTGGTTACAACGTCATATTGAAGGAAAACTCTGCTTTAAAGTGGTAATAAACCCTCGATCATACAAAAGTAACAGCATATCCTATATCATTGTAGGGGTTTCCTGTCCCATTTTTATGTACATCATGTCTTTGCAGCAAAATAGTCCATGCCCTATAATTTCCTGCTCTAGGGTGGCCACGCTGCCTTGTCATTTGTGAAGTTGAGCTTTAAAGTGAGACTGTGACAAGTGTGACAATACCTTTTTTTACAGCATTCGTAGATTTGGAGAGCTGTAGAACCTCTGTTAGGTTTATACAGCTGTGTGCACCCTCATTGGACAAAAAAAGTAACTTTTAGCAATATCAAGTAATAAAGCGGCTTTTGTAGAAATGATCAATGTTTTACCAATATTTCACCAAAAAGTGGAGTTTTACTTTAAGGATCTCCTCTGCTACTTGGTACATCCCAATGGCATCAAGTGACACTAAACTCAGGAGTTAAATCTTAAAAAATTTATTCAAGTACCATAACTATTAGCAAAAATGTATCTTATTTGTGTATCACTCGGCTGTAGATCCTCCAATCATTTCTGAATTGGTACTGACACTGTCCTTCCTTCTGGAGGGTGGCTACTTTTGTTCCCCATGGTCCCTGTGTGTGTTGTAAAGTAGTCACCACTCCAAGCTCACTCCTGTGATGGACTACAATCTCAATACAAATTAGTAAACTAAATGTGAGATTGTAGTCCATCACAGGAGCGAGCTTAGAGAGGTGACTACTTTACAACACACACTCTATAGATGGGGAAGTGAGCGAACACATATCGTCGCTCACTCACTTTACAATCATCTCTCTGCAGAGAGCGGTGACTGTCAGTCACAGCTCCCCGCAGAGATTCCCCCCCTCCCATCTCCGATCCTCCGGCGCTGACTAGAGGAACAGACAGGGAGGGGGCGGGCACAGCTGGCTCTGCCTCTAGATAGGCAGAGCCCGCTGTCAATCAGCCATCTGGGTGTATCTCAACAGTATTGTCGGGATCTGTTCCGGCTGCGGCGATCTCGGTATTCAGCGAGCTACATACTGAGCTTTGGGTCAGGGGAGGACGTTAGAATATGTCCTCCCGTGACCCTTAATGCCACGTGCACACCAGTCACAGTGCGTTCCGGCCCGATTCTGGCCATTACGCACTGCATCGCATTGCGGCCGACTCACTATGTTGTAGGGCAGGAGGGGGCGTGGAGGTCCATTGAAGTGAATGGCACCGTAGCCACGTCCTCCAGCCAAACGAGACATTATGCCCGCTGTCCGGTTCGGTCTGAACAAAATGCTGCAAGCACATGCAGCCGAGCTCATTGCAGCCAGAACGCACTGTCTGTTGTGAACGAGGCCTAAGAGAACTATGGCATAAAAAGGTTACCCCATAGTTCTCTTTTAAGTAACATTAGCGACCTGGCTCCTGGGACTTGTCCAGCCCTGCTCTACAGCACATGCTTTCAGTGCAGCGTCCAGAAGAATGCGCTGAAAGAAATCGGCTGACAGCAAGAAAATAAAAGATGGCATCCTTAGAATCTCTTCAGATGTTGATTCTCCTTGCTTGACCCCTGGCAACGAGTAGCCAAGGCACCATGCCTGTGTAACTGTAAGCCAGGGATGTCTTTTTTACATTGAATTCCGTATGCAGAAAGCCCATAGCTCGCAGAGGACTTAATCAATAGAAGTACATTTAAGCTGTCCAGACATTTGGCTTTTTCAGGTTAAACAGGGGAAATGATTGCGGTATATTTGGGAACTTTGCTTAGATACATTGAAGGGGCTGAGATGTTTTAAAAGCACAGTTATTCATTAACGTTCATCCACTCCTAATGCCGCACACACACGGGAACTGCGGAGGAGATTACAGTGTTGTGTCCCTGCATGTGTTGAGTGCTAATCAGCGCTTTAATGTGACTTGCATGAAAATAGTAATCAGGATTCATCAAGTAGCGTTTCAGTGTGAGTTCGCCAGGTAAAAGCTGCAGAGGCAAGAGGAATAAAAGATGAATATAAACATGAAACCCTAATTGGATCAGCAGCTTTCAGCGTCAGGAAATCCTATGGAGGAGCACTGCGAGGGGCTGCTGAATCAAGATGAAGTGAGGGTGGTGCCGCAGAGTCTGGTGTTAGAGCCAAGGATGGCATAGTGTTGGGGTCAGGGGGTTCAGTTTAAAGGGGGTTCATTATTATTATTATTATACAGGATTTATATAGCACCAACAGTTTGCGCAGTGCTTTACAATATAAGGAAGACATTACGATCACAATACAATTCAAGACAAGATGGTAAGGAGGGGAGAAGTGATACATGAGGAAGTAGCTGTGTGAAGATGAATTGTATGAGAACATAATGGTTGAGTGGTTAGGTTGAGGCGGGATAGGCTTCCCTGAAGATATGAGTCTTAAGGGATCGCTTAAAGGCAGTCAGAGTGGGAGATAGATGGACAGGTTGGGGTAAAGAGTTCCAGTGGATGGGAGAGACTCTAGTGAAGTCCTGGAGGCGAGTATGGGAGGAGTTGACTAGGGAGCTGGAAAGCAGGAGGTCTTTGGATGAGCGGAGGGGACAGTTACGGTGATAGTTTTAGATAAGGTTGGAGATATATCCGGAGGCAGAGTTGTGGATGGCTTTACAAGTGGTTGTTAATTTTTTGAATTTGATGCTTTGGGCGATTGGAAGCCAGTGGAGGGATTGGCAGAGGGGGGTAGGGGATTGAAGCCAGTGGAGGGATTGGCCGAAGGGGGAGGGGGATGAAAGCCAGTGCAGGGATCGGCAGAGGGGGGTTACAGACACTGAGCGGTTGGTTAGGTGAATTAGTCTAGCAGCTGCATTCATGATAGACTGAGGGGGGAGGAGCCTGTGTAGAGGTCGGCCAATGAGGAGCGAGTGGCAATAGTCAAGACGGGAGATAACAAATGAGTGGATGAGTAGTTTTGAGGTTTTGTTGGTGAGAAAGGGGCGTATTATGGAGATGTTGCGAAGGTGATATGATAGCGGTTTTGCTTATTTATTAGGGCTAAAAAAGAATATTTGCAAAAGTATTTTTCTTTTGGGTAAAAATAAAATATTGCATATTCAACATTTATATTTGTAATCACCAGATTGAGATGTTGTTGTCAGGGTACCCTGCACAGGCGTTCTCACACCACATGCAGGTACCCACGCAGGATTACCAAATTAATATGCCCACACAGGATAGGGTTAAATGCACAGTTTATTGGTTCCACGTCAACAAAACTATAAACCCAACAAAGATGGGGGAACAGGCCTGCAGATGTACAGCAGGCCTCAGGATACAAGAAGAGTGGTCAGGTACAAGCCGGGTCGTCAACAGGAGGGCAGCGCGGTACAGGAACAGGATTCAACGGAGAGTGGTCGGGTAACAAGCCGGGTCGGTGACAGGTTTTCAGATAGGAAGCAAGGTTCAGGACATGGGAATCAGTCAGGTTTAGCAACACAATACTGACCCAGCTTCCTGACTGCAGGGAGGGCCTAAATACCCCCCCAGGAAGCACCAGGTGATGGGATGATCAGTCACAGCTGGGGCACACCCGCAGGTGAGTACTGGAGCTGCAAGTTCCTTACAGTTCCTGGCTGCTGGAGACACCCGCAGGCGAGCACAGGAACTGCAGGACCCGGCTCCAGCGCCACCTGGGGGTGCTCTGGATCCTGACAGTTGTCTCCTTACACCCTGGTGTAAAATGCCCGGTGTTCACAGGGCTCAATAGCTCAATCTGTAATTCACACACAGAACTGAATGAATTGTGACTCATCACATACCAAACAGCTCAGTCTGAGTTTTCAGTCAGCCTCAAGACTTCTGCTGCCGCTGTGCTGTTTCTTTAGCTAGCCCAGTGTTCTCTTGGAATCCTTTGCCATGTATGAGATTTTTTTTGTAAAACAAAGCTTGTATATAGATAGAAGAAAGAGGATACAAAAATATATAATAAAAAACAAAAAAGTTAAAACGACATTGACTGAAAAACAATATAGATTTAACTATTGGGGTTGGGATCCTTGCACCTTGGTGTAAAATGTTCAGTGTTTACAGAGCTCAATAGCTCAGTCTGTAATTCACACACAGGAATGAATGAATTGTTTCAGTGACTCATCACATACCAAACAGCTCAGTCTGAGTTTTCAGTCTGTCTCAAGTTTGCTGTGCTGTTTCTTTAGCTGACCCAGAGTTCTCTTGGAATCCTTTGTCATGTGTTAAATCATTGCAAAACAAAGCTTAAATATAGATAGACAAAAAGGACACAAAAATCTGTAAACTAGAAAAAACAAAAAAGCTAAAAGGAAATTGACTGAAAACCAATATAAATCTAACTAGGGATGCACAGATACTAGTATTTGGGCGAGTACTCGTACTCCCCCAAATGCTCCGATGCCTTTCCCGATACTTCAGCTTCCGGTATCAGGGAGCCAGGCAGCGAGTCATTACACGGCACACGGCTTCTTGATGGGCCGGGAAGACG